AAATAAACGATAAAACAACAGGACAGAAATAATAGCCAAGAGACATAACATCCACATCAATCAGCCAGGGTCAAGATTCATAGTGATTCATACTCTGAATATCCCTCTCAACTGTACTGTAGAGGGAAGAATGCACTTAATTAAGCTGAAAAACAAAATTTTACTGTACACATTTAATTTAGGATATCTTTTGGATCAAATTGTGGACGTTAAAGTTATTTATGCTAACACGGTAAGTCAACCAGTTAAGAGCATTTTTACTTTTATCCTCTTCGCCACTGATCGGCTCGTTAGCCGCTTGGGCGATCGGTCACGTCTTTTTTACTTTTCCTGTTCTTTATCTTCTTCACCAAATGATCGGCTGGTTAGCTGTTTGGGCGATTGGTCACGTCTCTGTTACGCACTGTTGGCAAGTACTGGGCATGCACCGGCTCCTGAATGTGCCTGAACCTGCTCCAGTGTTGGTCAAGTCTTGTCTTGAAAGAGCTCACACTCGGTGCCGTCACGACACTTTCTGGTAGATTGTTCCAAGAGTTCACAACTTTCACTCCGAAAAAGTTTGCCCTCACAGTTTTCTGGACTTGCGGCTTCTTCAATCTTGAGCTGTGACCCCTTGTGGGGCGAGCGTCCGCCAGCCCCAAGTAAGGACACTCGACTGAGTAGTGCCCCTTGAGATGCTTATACACCTCAATTAGGTCACCCCTTGCCTGCCTGTAGTATAAGCTAGGCAAGTTCAGCGTTCCAATCTCTCAGGGTAGCTGCGTGCACGACACACTTGGCAACGTGTAATCAATGCCATCGTTTAGTGTAGCTGTGTGTGTGCAACGTTCTCTCCTTTTACTCTCACACTACATTCCTCTCCCACACTATTCTCTTACTTTATCTCGCTCTTACAGGTTTTCCCGAGTTGTCTTAATCTATTTTATCACTTCTTTTTCTACATTCATCTCTCAATTCTCCTTTCTTTGCGTACCTCTCACTCTTATTCTCATTTTCGCTCTCCCTTTCGATATCTCACCCTAATTGTTTCTCTTTCGTTCTCACCCTGGTTCTTTTTCTGGGGTTGTCGCTCTCTCAGTCTCTATCACTCAAAACAAGAAGCCTAAACCTTTTGTCGACCTTCCCGTATTTTGTGTCTATAAAAGCCAATTAGTTTTTTATCGTAAATCCAACGCCTAATCTCAAGGGATCAAGGCAAGGTCAATATTAAATATCTGTGACTTCACCTTCACCAGTACTTAAAATCAACATAATAACCATTAATGAGTTAATGAATAATTTTTGTATACAGAATATATATATATTTATATATATATATATATATATATATATATATATATATATATATATAAATAAAATATATATATATATATATATATATATATATATATATATATATATATATATATATATATATATATATATATATATATATATATATATATATGCTGATAACCACAAGAAAAGAAGAAAACACGAAGTTCCTAAGCGCTTTCGTGTAATTCACATCTTCAGGGGTGAGTACAGACTGAGGAACATAAGAAAATAAGGAGTCTGCAATAGGCCGGTTGGCCTGTGCATGGCAGCTCCTGTCGAGAGTTCATACCACTCTCTATCATCCATGAATCTATCTAGCCTCGTTTTGAAACTTTCCAGCGTTCCAGCACTTACTACAAAGTTGCTAAGCTTGTTCCACTCGTCCACCACCCTATTTGTGAACCAGTTTCTTCCTATCTCCCTCCTAAACCTAAACTTATCCCAACTTAAATCCGTTGCTCCGAGTCCTATCCTGCTCGGATATTATAAGAACTTTATCTATATCCCCTTTATTGATTCCTTTCACCCACTTAAATATTTCTATCATATCTCCCCGCACTCTTCGTCTTTCTAGGGAATGCAAGTTAAGTTTCTTTAACCTATCTTGATATGGAAGGTTTCTAAGTCCCGGAATCATTTACGTCATTCTTCGCTGCACCGACTCTAGTGAATTTATATCCATTCTATAATAGGGGCACCACAACTGAACCGCATAATCGAGGTGCGGCCTGACTAGCGCAAGATATAGTTGCAATAAGATCTCTGCACTCTTATTACTTACACTTCTAGATATAAAACCCAATACTCTGTTTGCCTTATTTCGAACATTAACGCACTGTTTTCTAGGCCGTAGGTCCGGGCTTACAAGTACCCCTGGGTGTCTTTCACAAGTCGACTTCTCTAGGTTGATGTTGTTAAGGCTGTATACATTGTCAGTATTTGTTCTTCCAATATTAAGTACGCTTGCTGGTCAGTTATTAGGTAATGACCTTACTAATCTTTAAAAAGCACCGCAACGGTCGGTAGTCAGGTCAGAGTGTAAGTTGACCCAACCTTCTCACCTGGTTACAAATCTTCTTAATTACAAAATTGTCCAGTTTGTACATACCATTACTCAAATTCATGTTGACTGCTTCGGTATGTTTCATGAGACTAGATTCTATAATGTTCCTACTGTCAATTGAATTACAATGTAATATTGAGGAGGTATTATCGCAGTCAATAGAATGCTTATTATCCTTCAAATGAACAAACAGAGCATTGGATTCCTGGCCTGTCCTAACACTATATTTATGTTGTTTAAGTCTAGTTACAAGATCTTTACCTGTCTGGCCTAAGTAAAACATATTACATTCCTTGCAAGGAACCTTATAAATGCAGTCACTTGTATTGTTGGGGGAGTTCTTGATTAACATTAGTTTAACAGTGCATGAGTTTTTAAATGCCACATTGACGTTCCAGGTTTTTAGTTGTAAAGGAATTTGAGAGAAATTTTTGTGAAATGGTAATACTAAGAGATTCTTCTGGTCATGGGTGGGCTTGGGATCGGTTCTGTAGAAAGATTTCTTAGTAATGTTAAGGCATTTGTCTATGAAAGATCTAGGGTACTTAAGTTTGAAGCCAATATTATAGATATATTTATATTCCTCATCAATGAATTCCGGGCTGCAAATTCTCAAAGCACGTAAAAACATTGATGAAAATACTGACTGTTTGACTCTATTATGGAGGGGAGAATAATAATGAATGTATGAACACACATTAGTAGGTTTCCTATAAATACTGAACTTAAAAGTGTTACCTATTCTGTGAATCAGACAGTCTAGGAAAGGCAATTTACAGTCATGCTCTAATTCCACAGTGAATTTGATAGAGGGGGCTAAGTTGTTAAGTTGTGGCAGGAAAGCTTTTAGGTCCTCATTACTTGGCCAGAGACATAATACATCATCTACATATCTAAACCAGACTGCTGAAGGTGGTAAAATATTACTTAATAGTTTCTTTTCAAAGAATTCCATATATTGCTTAATACAGGTGAGAGTGGATTTCCCATTGCCATACCAATTTTTTTTTTCTTGTGGTTATCAGCATATACCTGGATCACTCGCACCCACAGTGATTTACTTGCATATATATATATATATATATATATATATATATATATATATATATATATATATATATATATATATATATATATATATATATATATATAAGCATAAAACTCCTCAATATAGTAAATGGTTTTATATTGAAGGCTCATAGTTGTGACGATACTGGTTTTGCAACATGTATGTGTAGACCCGGGTACCAGGCGACGCTCTGTGTGGTCACTAACAACACTAAGCTCTCCTAGTCAACCAAGGCTGGTGTCACGCCACGGTACAACACCCCGCCGAAGTACAGTAGGTGTATATATAGTACACACATCACAGGTAAACATAATGGAAAATGGCGTCACGGAAATGTAACAAATAAAGCGCTGGTTTCCAGCATGTTAGTATTGTGTACATTTCTAGATTGAAATTATGTCGTAAATTTAGTTGTCAGACGAAAGATGAGAACGATTAAAATTACATATACAGGGGTTCAGAGTTGGTTCGATACCATTTTTGGAGCATTTCGTGTGTGTGCGTGTGTGTGAAAATATTTATAGTGTCATGCTAACGTCAAACCCTGAATTTAAACAAAAACTCGAATTTTGTCTTTGTTTTGATGGCATAACACTGGTATGTATGCACTATAAACGTCTTCACACCGACGGGTTCTAAAAACTGCTCATCCGCCAGCAACTGATAAGTTGTAAAACATTAACAAATTATCCGAAAGTTGTTGTTGTTGTTGTTGTTTTTGCTCATATTTTTTTGGCCATTAGGTTCTTACACGAGATAATACATTAACTGGTAATAGATTCGAACGAACAAACGTCAGGTAGGTACATATATACATGATCGGGTCAATGTCACATAATGTCTGTCATCCTCTTCAGCAAGTAATAGGTCAAGAATCTCATATGTTCCTAGGTTTAATTTTCCTCGTGCCTGGAGAATTGAACACGTTTTTAACTTATTCACTTACGTTACGACAAAGTGATGGGCTCTCGAAGGTTCCTAGATTAACACTCATTAGTAGCCGAAGACGTGAGAAAGCCTCAACCCAATTCACTTTACGACGCAATGATAGAGGGTAAAATATCGTCGAGATTATTGTTATGACACGAAATTGAGTCTTTGTTTGCCTACGTCATGTGTCTAGTGACTGCAGATTACACGAAGAAAGTTTTCTTTGTATTATATTACAACTGTGTTTATAGTCTGGACAAAATCCCAGCAAAACATTTTCTATTGGACAAAATCCCACTTTACTTTTCAACCGGACAGTCCCACCAAGCTTTGCATACAGACAAAATCACCCAGACTATTTTCCACTGGACAAAATCCCATCACACTATTTACCAATGGACAAAATCCAACCAGACTATTTCCCATTGGACAAAACCTCACCAAACTATTTCCCACTGGACAAAATTCCGCCAGAATATTTCTCTGGACAAAATCCCGACATCAAATAAAAATCCTAGCATATACAGCTCAACTAAATCGAAAGTCCCAATACCCTTGACAAGTACTATAGGCTAATCTGTATTTTGTCTACATCCTTATCAAAGTAAAACGATAACTCACCTGAGCGAGAAGATACGGAGGTATCTACCTTGTGAAGGTCTGTGAGGCACTGAAGCCTTGCACTCTCCGCCTTTCCGAGCTCTCCTTACCTCTTACCATTGGTGCAGCTGGAGCTTCTCGACCAATCGCTTACTTGCAATATCTTAATGGGCGGGACAAGGATGCAAGACCAACGTGTATATGGGTATGACATGGGCTGATTGGTCCTTTATCACAGCTCATAACTAAAGTGTGTTTCAAGTGTTAAGTAAGGTCTATTTGCCTCAAATTCTTAGAACAACTGAGGTTAGACAGTAATGTGGAAGGGACACTAGCTGACTTAATGGTGAGGAAGGACCAATCAGCTCGTCATTCCGGCATACACATAAATTTTACTAGTTATCGAAGCTTACGTGACCCAATTATTTCTCACGTTACCAGTTAAGGTAAAATTTTATCGTAAGGACGCTTTGAGAACAAATCTTTGTGTCGTAAGTTATACGAGTATTAGTAAGTTAAAAATATGCTCACATAATCCAATCAGAAGGGAACAAATAAATATAAGTAATATAAAACCTCATAAAATCCATATTTGTGTCGTAATTCTAAGTAAGCCAATTAGCTGAGGTCTCACGTCAGCAGGTGGGCGTAAAAGGCAAATTTTATCATGACAAATCTTGGGGGACTTGTAGACTTGGTTTAGTGAAATCGTCCAACCATTGTCCGAAGAGTTGTACAATACAAGGGTGTCTTATCGCCTTACAAATCGCAAACTAGATGGAAAAATTTCATGGCCACAGTTAATATTATCGATAAAATTCTTTCATAACTGATCAGTGTTGTAGCATCTGGCTCTGTTGTACATGGATGATTAAACGGACTGTTTCCTTTATTGTTATTTTTCTCTGGTCGTCTTCCGTTGAGTTATTATGGTTACCGTTGTTAGTTATCTCTGGTCGTCTTCCGTTGAGTTATTGTGGTTACCGTTGTTAGTTATCTCTGGTCGTCTTCCGTTGAGTTATTATGGTTACCGTTGTTAGTTATCTCTGGTCGTCTTGTGTTGAGTTATTGTGGTTACCGTTGTTAGTTATCTCTGGTCGTCTTCTGTTGAGTTATTATGGTTACCGTTGTTAGTTATCTCTGGTCGTCTTCTGTTGAGTTATTGTGGTTACCGTTGTTAGTTATCTCTGGTCGTCTTCTGTTGAGTTATTATGGTTACCGTTGTTAGTTATCTCTGGTCGTCTTCCGTTGTTATGATTACTGTTGTTAATTTTCTCTGGTCGTCTACCGTTGTTATGATTACTGTTGTTAATTTTCTCTGGTCGTCTACCATAGAGTTATATTTATTATGAGTGAGGAGACTATCATCCCAGACGACCTACAGTATACCAGCTGGCGGGAGCTAATAAACAATAGCATTACTGAGGTCCGTGGATAGTTGCATTGCTTCCCTTATACTGTAATACCTTAGTTATAATGTAATACCTCCCTTAGACTTGTAACAGGTGGTGTCTTGGTGACGTGTGAGTGACGGTACTCAAGTATGAGGCAATACTTAGTGACCCTGAGTGGTGAGTGATATGAGTAACGTGAGTGAGGTGAGGGGTAGAGCGTATTGTACTCAGCTTAGGTCAATCGATACTGTTTTTCCAGCCTTGGTCACACAACAACACCAGGGTGGCGCGCCTCATACCTGCAAACGTGACAGGTGCGAGGAAGGGTGGCGAGTCACGTGGGTATATATATACTGATAATAATACTGCACATACACGTCGCTGTCGCCGCCGCATGACACCAACGCACGAAGCATCACGCCCTAAATCATGCGTTATCATGCACTAAAACGTGACGCACGCACCCCATTAATTATATAAACTGACGCATGAACGTACTATCATTAACATAGCAGATGGATTATTTTTGTATGTATGTACTGTATGCATGCATGTATGTATGTATGTATGTATGTATTTATGTATGTATGTATGTATGTGTGTATGTATGTCATCTATCTATCTATCTATCTATCTATCGGTGTTTGTGTGTTAGCGTTTATTAATCTAGTATATACCATAAGAGGGGAAGGACACGAAGGGAGTAAAGTGAGCAAGAAGATTGGTAATGAGGGAAGGAAGACAGGTGAGGGAAGGAAGACAGGTGAGGGAAGGAAGACAGGTGAGGGAAGGAAGACAGGCGAGGGAAGGAAGACAGGTGAGGGAAGGAAGACAGGTGAGGGAAGGAAGACAGGGGTGAGGGGGAGGGAAGGGAAGACAGGTGAGGGAAGGAAGACAGGTGGGGAGGAAGACAGGTGAGGGAGGAAGACAGGTGAGGGGAGGAAGACAGGCAGAAGGGAAGACAGGTGAGGGAAGGGAAGACAGGTGAGGGAAGGAAGGCAGGTGAGGGAAGGAAGACAGGACAGGGAGGGAAGGAAGACAGGTGAAGGGAGGGAAGGAAGACAGGTGAGGGAAGGAAGACAGTGAGGGAAGGAAGACAGGCGAGGGAAGGAAGACAGGTGAGGGAAGGAAGACAGGCGAAGGAAGGAAGACAGGTGAGGGAAGGAAGACAGGGAGGGAAGGAAGACAGGAGGAAGATGAGGGAAGGAAGACAGGTGAGGGAAGGAAGACAGGTGAGGGAAGGAAGACAGGGGGGAAGGAAGACAGGTGAGGGAAGGGAAGCAGGGTGAGGGAAGGAAGACAGGTGAGGGAAGGAAGACAGGAGGGAAGGAAGACATGGAGGGAAGGAAGACAGGTGAGGGAAGGGAAGACAGGTGAGGGAAGGAAGACGAGGGAAGGGAAGACAGGCGAGGGAAGGAAGACAGGTGAGAAGGAAGGCAGGTGAGGGAAGGAAGACAGGTGAGGGAAGGAAGACAGGTGAGGGAAGGAAGGCAGGTGGAGGGAAGGAAGACAGGCGAGGGAAGGAAGACAGGTGAGGGAAGGAAGACAGGTGAGGGAAGGAAGACAGGGTGAGGAAGGGTGAGGGAAGGAAGACAGGCGAGGGAAGGAAGACAGGTGAGGGAAGAAGGGAAGAAGGGAAGGAAGGGGAGGGAAGGAAGAGAGGAGGGAAGGAAGACAGGGAGGGAAGGAAGACAGGTGGGAGGGAAGAAGACAGGCGAGGGAAGGGAAGACAGGTGAGGGAAGGAAGGGGGAGGGAAGGAAGACAGGTGAGGGAAGGAAGACAGGCGAGGGAAGGAAGACAGGCGAGGGAAGGAAGACAGGTGGAGGGAAGGAAGGCAGGTGAGGGGGAAGACAGGCGAGGGAAGGAAGAGGCGAGGGAAGGAAGACAGGTGAGGGAAGGAAGACAGGTGAGGGAAGGAAGACAGGGAAGGGGAAGGGAAGGAAGACAGGTGAGGGAAGGAAGACAGGTGGAGGGAAGGAAGACAGGTGAGGGAAGGAAGACAGGTGAGGGAAGGAAGACAGGTGAGGGAAGGAAGACAGGTGAGGGAAGGAAGACAGGTGGGGAAGGAAGACAGGTGAGGGAAGGAAGACAGGCGAGGGAAGGAAGACAGGCGAGGGAAGGAAGACAGGTGAGGGAAGGAAGACAGGTGAGGGAAGGAAGACACAGAGGAAGGAAGACAGGTGAGGGAAGGAAGACAGGCGAGGGAAGGAAGACAGGTGAGGGAAGGAAGACAGGTGAGGGAAGGGAAGGAAGACAGGCGAGGGAATGAAGACAGGTGAGGAAGGAAGACAGGTGAGGGAAGGAAGACAGGTGAGGGAAGGAAGACAGGCGAGGGAAGGAAGACAGGGAGGGAGGAAGACAGAGGGCCCCGTGAGGGAGAAGTTTGTGTTGTGTCTCGGGATCCCTGAGACCGACCTCCCACTTCCCCTTCCACCCCCAGTGTACTCTCCCTCCCTCCCTCCACTCACTTTTACCTAGATAGCCAGGAAGGTTAGAACTATTATGCCTCCTCATTCCCCTTCCACTCTCTCCTTCCTTTCACTCATTCCCCACTACCACCTCTTCTCCCCTAACCTCTTCTCCTCCCCTCACTCTCTCCCTCTCCTCACCTTCCCCCCGAAAGGTGAACGCTAGCTTGGTGTATAAACGTCATTTTTTTTACACAGATTCGTATTAACATATTGATGAAGGTCGATTGTGACTCCTGGTTCACGAGAACACCTTATCGTGTCTATGCCTTCCTGCCGCTCACTGCACAGACGTACAGTCAGTTTATGCTACTCAGATTACAGTTACATCTGACTGATTAGTATACAGTCAATAGTCAATTTATGCTGTTCAGTGCAGTTACACCTAGTTGCTCAGTATACAGTCGATTGACATATAGTTAGCATTTGCTGATCAGTGCACAGTCAACAGTCTCACCAGTGTAATTGTTATTCTCTATTTCATCTACGCCCCATACCATACCTTGCCCTCCCCTCACTCCATCCTCCCCTTCCCTATCCCTCTCCCTACTCTCCCCTCACTCACCCTACATTACCTTCCCCTCCCCTCACTCTATCCTACCCTCACCCCTCCCTCGCATCACCCTCCCTCCTCACCTCCCTCGCCTCACTCATCCTCTCCTCACCCCTCCCTCCCCTCCTCCCTCCCTCACCTCATCCTCCCTCCCCTCACCCCTCCCTCCCTCAACTCCCCATCCTCCCTCACCCCCCTCCCACCCTCCCTCACCCTCCTCCCTCACCCCTCCCTCCCCTCCCTCTCCATCCTCCCCTCACCCCATCCTCCCTCACCCCTCCTCCCCTCACCCCATCCCTCCCTCACCCCTCCCTCCCTCACCCCCTCCCTCCTCACCCCTCCCTCCCCACCCATCCTACCCTCACCCATCCTCCCTCACCCTCCCTCCTCCTCACCCCATCCCTCCCCTCACCCCCTCCCTCCCTCACCCCTCCCTCCCTCACCCCTCCCCCCCTCACACCATCCTCCCCTCACCCTCCTCCCTCACCCCATCCCCTCCCTCACCCCTCCCTCCCTCACCCCTCCCTCCCACCCCATCCTCCCCTCACCCTCCCTCCCCACTCCCCGAGGCACCACAACACTGGAGGAAACACACGAACCTCTCTGAAAAAACTGAATATCGTGACAGTGTGTGTGTGTGTGTGTGTGTGTGTGTGTGTGTGTGTGTCAGGGTGGGTGTTGCGCTCTAGTTGTATAAATGTCTAGCAG